ACACACACTATTAGTGATGAAATAAAATGTTGCAATGGTTAACTCTCAGCAGTGATTATGAGTGATTTTTGTTTTACTACTTTTTCCCTAGGTTTTCTATGATGAACATGTATGGTTTGTATATTTTTAAATTATTCCTTTAAAAAGGATCTAACAGAGTAAATAACACTGATCAACCACATGAGATTTGGAGTATACAATCCAATAGCTTTAGTTCCTTTATCTTTACTCAAATCTGTAACTAAATGTTTAAAGACAGAAAATGCTAAAATTGTATTCAGACTCATTCAGAAGATATACACACATTTTAATACTGCTTTTGGAGATCCACTTACAGAAGAAATTCATAGTGTTCCAAGCACTGGGCAGCTGTTCTTCCAATGATTGGAGCGATGGTTCTCCACTGAGTTGGCATCAACTTGGCCAAGTGTAAGAGTTTTTCCTCTTCTTCTCTGGACCATTCTGTTTTCTTAATGCTTGGATCGAGCCACTCATACCTATTAAAAATATACAATTTTATACATTAATCAGTCACCTAGCATGAATATGCTATTTACATATTAGATATACTGACTTCTAGTGTCTGAAAACAAAAGGTAACTCTCATCCTTCAATTATAAAATCTGTTTTTTCACAACAGAATAGTCACTGCTTTTGTTTGGTGTTTTTAAATTTAAGTGAACTACTGTCATTATCTGTCTTTCCCAACCCACCCAACCCACCTTTTCCATCCAGTTTATTTAATTGGATGAGAGGCTAGCAAGTAAGATATAACCCTTACCAAACATCAGGCAGGGACTTAGCGCCACTGAGAGAAGCAGAAATCAGAACCACTTGCTCAGGCTGAGGACCATCTTCCTCTTTGAGGTCCAATCCCTACATTATGAGCCTTTCCCCTACTCAGGTGCCTAGGAAATTAGGACCTTCTTGTACAATTTAAAATATGATCCTAGTACCAATTAGGTCAAGGCTGGGGCCAGATCATCCGTGCCAAGGACACATGTAAAAAGTTTAATGTGTCCACTACCTTGTGACTTAAAAGGGGATACCACAGGTGTATGATGGGTTTTGCTACATTTTGGGGTAGCAAATACACAAAATTTCAACTGTAATATGAGGAATCTCAACTATTGTAAGCCAGTCTAGAAGTTAACCATCATTTATCATTCATTTCTTTGGGGAAGAAAGTTCTAACCAACTTTTAAACTTTTGGAGCACAATCCACTTATAAGCTGGAGTCCATCTTTACCTAAAAGCAGATTTATTGTATGCTTCACAAAGCACTCTCAAACACATTAATTCACTTGGGCCTCATATCTCCACCAGATAGAGCCAAATATTATTATCCCCAAATGGGATAAAACAGGGCAGAATAGAGGATAGAAAAATGCCTTGCCTAAGTTCAGAGAAACCAAGTGACAATTAAGTCTTAAATCTAAATTCCCATCTCGCCCTAGCTCGTTTGACTCAGGGATAGGGTGTCAGACTGCAGACTGAGGGTCCCGGGTTCGATTCCGGTCAAGGGCACATGTCTGGGTTTCGGGCTTGATCCCCAATAGGGGGTGTGCAGGAGGCAGCCAGTCAATGATTCTCTCTCATCATTGATGTTTCTATCTCTCTCTCCCTCTCCCTTCCTGAAATCAATAAAAATATAATTAAAAAAATAAATTACCATCTCCCACTTCATCCTTTCTGTTACATCACAACAACTTCTTTCTTTGGTAAGGGTCAAAGAACTGGCATTTTCCTCAAATAATTAAAGTTGTTTTCTGTTTTCCATTCACTAACTGATACATACCATCTGGCTTTGCATTGCTTTGCTGATTTTCTATGCAGCAGTGAGGCAATCCTAGACCACTGGTTTTTCCCATATTTCATTACCGCTGCTTTAAGAATTTCATCCTAAAAAAAATTGTCAAAGAAAAAACAGTATAATCAATCACAAAATTCCAAGTGAGAAAAGACAAAATTTAAATGAACTCTAACAGGGTTTCTGGAAAGAAAAAGAAAGACACACACATACCTCCTAGATCAGTGATTTTCAACCGGTGTGCCACAAGAATTTTTAAAACATGCAATACCTGACTATTTAGTCAGGGGGACTGACCTCTTTTCCCTTACGTTGCCAAATAAAAAAATGACAACAGCCAGCATAACAATAGCTGTCTGGGCTGAATGAATCAAAATTATACTTTTTGTGTGTGTGTCAAATTGGCAAAAAATAATATAATTTTTGGTGTGCTTCAGAATCTTAGTAGTACCATAAGATGAAAATTGAAAATCACTGTCCTAGATTTTTTTTAAAAGGTACAAAGTCCTCATTTACCATCATAATAAACAGAAAGCCAGAATCAGCCAAATGCAAGAAATTAAGAAGACACCTCTTAGAAGAGCTGTCTACCCTCCCTTATACAGAACCCCACCCAACCCCATAATACATTGGGATGGAAACAGCCCAAACTGAGAAACCCTACTTTTGATAGAGACTAACAAAAAACTATTCTCCAATATGTTATTCTCCTCAAAAGAGTACAGTTCATTCACACATTTATTCCATCAAAAGACATTTCCTGAACACCTACCTGCACCAGGTCTTGTGTGCGTAGCAAAAGAGAATCCAACAGGACACGCCCAGCCCTAAATCAAGATTCTCCATTATCCAATCCAGGCTTCCTGCCTCCAGTTTATGAATAGCATTTTTTCTCTAGTCCCATAACCCCACTCCGACCCTAGAATACACATCCAGGTGTAACTTGAGAATTATTTCTCTCCCACCCCACCAGTTGGCTCTCCCTCCAGCCTCCAGATATTTCATCAGGGTACCCATTCTGATATGGAATTCACCAATCTCAAGGGAGCCCAGCAAGATAAGCCATAGACACCAAAGATAATAAAAGCCATAGATTAATGTACTTGGGCATTTTGCTTTTAGGGTTTTTTCCACTTGAGCTATACACCTCACACATGAGCTGCTCCACCCCACCGCACCTTCCCATCATCAGACTTCAACAGACTTCAGAGCTCCAGCCACCGCAGAGGAATCCTGCTGCTAAGAGATTTTGTGCATCTGTCTGTCCCCCAGAAGTCATCTCTTCTCCAATTTAAACAGCCTGGTGCCCTCTGAGCAAGCTGTGAGGCAAGGTTGTCTGGTGGCTGACTTTACTTGGAACTTTGTTGCAGTACTACTATACTTAAACACTCCTTCAACTTAGTATATACAGGCATGAGGTTTACAAGTGGTAATACAAGTAAGTAGTACAATAATTAATACATAACAATACAAGAATAAACTGTTTTGTGTACTCACAACTGTAAACCTACTTTTGCCCGCCCCTGTTTAGCAGTTTTCTACCTACTACATTCATTCCACATTTTACTAAGCAACCTACTATCATGTTGGTTCCTGTCCTAGGTTCTAGGGAGACCAAGATCCGGTCCTCTTGCAATGCTGTCTGCTGGGGGAAAGCAATAGCAACCAGCACTTACTGAAAGAATACTAATGATTATCATTAGAAAAATGAGAAAACTGAGGTTCTGAGAGGTTAAGAAGCTTGCCCAGCATCACAGAGCAGGATGTGATGCCTGCAAAAGGTCAAAGCAAGCAATAACAAACGGGTGAAAGAGGGGCAATGGGAACTCTCGGGGTAGAACTAATTTTTTTACAGGAAAATGGGCAAAAATTCCAAGAAGAGTTTCTGAACTGGATCTTGAAGGATGGTCGGAAAGACGCCAAGCAGGAGGAGGATTATTTAAAGAAAGTACAAGATGTATAAATACACAGCTCATGAAAAGATACAATGTGCTCCAGAAACGGGCACATTTCGTGCACTCTGAACACGAGCTGCACTGACATCTCCTCTTTTCCTCTCCCTCTACAGCAGTGGTTCTCAACCTTCTGGCTCTTTAAATACAGTTCCCCATGTTGTGACCCAACCATAAGATTGTTTTCGTTGCTACTTCATAACTGTCATGTTGCTACTGTTATGAATCGTCATGTAAATATCTGATATGCAGGATGGTCTTAAGCGACCCCTGTGAAAGGGTCGTTCGACCGCCAAAGGGGTCGCGACCCACAGGTTGAGAACCGCTGCTCTTCGGGCTCACCACTGGCATGATCCACTACATTTCTGGAAGCAACGAAACTACTGTCATCAGTTTGCCCCATCTGCCTTCTTTACAGGCGGAGGAACGACAGGACGAGACACGCATGGGGTCTGTCGGGAGGACTGGCAAAGTTACGCCTGGATAACAGATAACAAGAGGGACAAACGGGCTCTTCAAGCCCAGCACTCGAGCCGCTTCCCCTCTGCACGGAAGTCAAAACAGAAACAAAGTTGTGGCCACGGCACTTCTTTATGTTTGAGCATCGAAGAAAGGCACGGTGCCCGGGCTGAGGGGCAAGGGTGCCCCCAGAAGACCAACTCTCGCTGAGGTCCTACCGCCCCCTCCAGACTGAGTTCCGTGGTGGGGGGTCGGGGGGTGCTTCCCCTACTCAACGGATGTTCACTGGGGGCCTAGCAAGTGCCTGGCAGGTACCCAGGTGGCTAAGTCACAGTCCCTGTCCTGGAGGTGCTCAGACAACACAGGGTCGGGGACCGGGAAAGGCGCGGAGGGTCCGCCCGGCGCCGCCCCCACCCGGACCCCCAGCAAGGTCTCCGCGCATCCGCGACCTCCACGCGCCTGCGCACAAGCTGCCGGCGGGGGCGAAGGGCAGCGGACGGCGGGAAAGGGGGACTCACCTCGGTATTCCTCCACACGCCCCCTTTAATCATAATTCGAGGCATCTTGGCGGCCGGGTGTCTCGGCAAGCGGCCGAGGGGAGCTTCCGAGAGGTAGCAACGGCGCCGCGGCCACGAGACGCCAAGCCTCCACTTTCTCCAGGCGCGACCTTCTGCTATCTGAAGACCTGCGCAGGCGCAAGGCGGTGGGCGGGGCAGCCAGCGGCCAGTATCGCGAGAACTCGGGTGGCGGAAAGGAAAGTCGGAGCCTGGTGCAGGCGGCAGTCCGGGAGAACGGCAGGAAACCGGGAGGCCGCTCCGGCTGCAGCGCGGGACGCCGCGCGCACACCCGAAACTGATTGGCGGACAACACGGAGGTGGCGAAAGGTCAGCCGTGGCTCTCGGCAAGGAACGTAGGGGTGGACAGGTCGTGACGTCACCTAGTGGCAGAGAGTGGGAACCTCACGCGTTTGGACTTGCAGCCCAGTCGATTTAAAAAGAGCTTTGTTAATGATCCAGTTAGCACTTCCTTAGGCGTTTAACTAATAGGAATGTATGCACATTAGACTCAGGAAAAGGCAGTCGCTTATTGAAGCCTAAATGTCCTAACCTGTAGAGATAATAGTACCAACCTCATAGGGTTGTCCTAAGGATTAAATCTCATAAACCAAGCACTTAAAAAAAAAGTGGCAGCTGTAGCCCAGCCGGTGCCGCTCAGTGGTTGAAGTCCACCCCTGAACCTAGAGGTCACGGTTCAATTCCCAGTCAGGGTAGATGCCTGGTTTGGGGCTGAATTCCCAGTAGGAAGCGTGCAGGAGGCAGCCAATCGATAATTCTCTCTCCCTTTCTCCCTCTCCCTCTCCCTTTCTCTCTCTAAAGTCAATAAAAAAAAATTTTTTTAAAGAAAGGTGTTTGTTTTTTTTAATGGCAACCTTCAGTGATCCGTGGTTGTGCCAGAAACCCCCTGTAGGATGTGTGACCTTTACTTCTTGTCCACTCCATCCCCAACATCACTCAGCTCTCATGTGTCTCTCTCTCACACACACACACACACACATACTGGCCACGTGATTGATCTGATCAAAACTGAGCCAATTAAGTCTCCTCCCCGGAATTTTGACACCGGAACCTGGAACAGGCCAGTCGCTCTGCTGGCCTATGAGTCTCTACTGTGTGACACCCAGGAGCTGTCTGCCGCAATCTTTTGGACTATGTCGGCCAGGAAGGAAAAACAGCAGGAGCCAGATGCATTGAGAGGAGCAGGAAGGGGAGTACAGAGAGACAAAGGCAGGTCCTGGCTGTGTGGGAGCCCCTGGATGCATGCCTGTTCTTGAGTTCAATGATTACTTCCCCTTTTGGCTTTAGCCAGTTGGAGTTGAGTTTCTATTATTCATAAGCAAGATTCCCAACAAACCCAGTCCTCTCTCAAGAGCCATTTCAGATCTAACATCCAAGAGTCCATGGTGATGGCTTCACCGTCCTACTCAGGACCACCTCTACCATATGTCACCTTTGTATCAACTAGAAAAGGTGCCCCTTCTTCTAGGCAATTTATTGAAATCTACTGGAAAATTGTCACAAAATATTGTTTTGAGAACAGGACACTCTTATTACAAGAAAATTGGATCTACCATGTCTACAATGTGAATTGTGTCCCCTCGAGGCATGCGTTGTACACCCACTTCCTCATTCACCCAAATACGTTCCTCAGAACACTGGGATACTCCATAGAAAATAAACAAGTCTTGCCCTAGCCGGTTTGAATCAGTGGTCGGCCTGCGGACCAAAGGGTCTGAGGTTCGATTCCGGTCAAGGGCACGTAGTACCTCGGTTGCAGGCTTCTTCACCGCCCAGCTCGGGGCATGTGCAGGAGGCAACCAATCAATGTTTCTCTCACATCAATATTTCACTCTGTCTTTCCCTCTCTCTAAAAATCAATAGAAAAATATCCCCGGGTAAAGATTTTTTTAAAAAAAAATTTTTTTTAATTAAAGAAAATGAGAAAAGACATGGACACACGGGGAGAACAGTATGTGAAGGAGGAGGCATGGGTTGGAGATGGGTCTACAAGCCAAAGAAATGCCAAGGATTGCCAGCCACACCAGAAGCTAAGAGTGAGGCATGGAATGCACTCCAAGAAGGAACCAACCTTGCTGACACCTTGATCTCAGCCTTCCAACCTCCAAGGCTATGAGAGAATGAATGTATCCTGCCTTCAGCCACCCAGTTTATGGTACTTTATTATAGCAGCCCTAGGAAATGAATACACTCCCTTTACAATATAACATTTCCAAGCTCATTTGACCCTGGAAACCATTTTTCTTATATCTGTTGATATGCAGGAAACACAGTTTGGGAAGCTCTGGCCCAGAGAAAGGAGGTTGGAGGTCCATCAGTTTACAAGGTGTAAGGAGAGATGTAAGCTGAGGGTTTTGTAAGTTGCATTACCCCCCACTTTCCCACCCCTCATCCCTTTCTGGGGAGCTGGTTCTGACTGAGCTAACTACGCTTAGCTGAGAAAACAACAAACTTTAGTCTCCCTTTCATCCAGTTTTTGCCATCAAGAAACTGTCCAAGAAAGGGCTAAAATTAGAGTCAAAAGCCTGTGGCGACAAGGCATGGCTAGGGACTGGGGTCAGCCACCCCTATAATCTTAACCTCCGTGCCCCTCCCCCACCAATAAACAGATGGAATTTAAGTAGCAACATTATGCTGCTTTGCAAATAGAATTTCAAAACACGTCTTCTAGCCCCCACCCCATCTACCAGATTGCCACCCCTCAACCCCTCCCTCCCACTTAGAAATTCCTCAGCTAGTATTGGGAGAAATTAATGTGAAATGGAATTTCATGCACCCTAAATGCTGGTAATTTGTATCATATTACTAACCGTGGTTAGTCATGTTAATTGGCTTACAGTTCACCTACTGAGATTTCCTTGTGGTGGGTCCAGTTATAGTTTGTAATTTTTTTCTCAGAAACTTATCTTCATGGGTATTATTTTTTTAAAATACATTTTTATTGATTTCGGAGAGGAAAGAGAGGGAGAGAGAAATAGAAACATAAATGATGAGAATCATCAATTGGCTGCCTCCTGCCCACCTCACACTGGGGATTAAGCCCGAAACATGGGCATGTACCTTGACTGGGAATTGAAGCA